GCAAAGTGTTGTAGACTGAAGATATGAAAGATATTCAGAGAAAAAAATAACAAACAATAAAATCCACTGAAGCTCAGAGATCCTCCCACATATCCCTTATGGCTAATTTGGACTTGCCTTTTGCTTCCCATTTGTTAGGTGGTGGACAATTCCATTAGTAATACCTTCCTTATGATCATTAAACTAGTAAACATATTGGCTACACCAAATTCCCTCAATTAGTACTATTTGATTGACTTTATTTTCTAATCCAGTTTTTTTTGTTCTAACACTTCTTGAAGTGCCCAACCTCCTTCTTAATGATAACACTTGGTGTTCAAATATCTGTTCTTGTAAACTCATCTTGAAATAGTTACACAAGAATGGCAGAACAGAAAACAAGTCAGAAAAATGTTTTCAAGAATCATGTTTCATAATATACCCATTCCACATGGGCATCTAATATCAAAATCCTTGAAATACAAATTTAGAGCTAAAAATGGCAATTTACAGAGACAAATAAAGGGGGAAATTGTATTTTTGTCCTTACCTGTTCCTAGGACGTACATTATATGAGTAAGAGACTATAGGTCTTTGTTTTGAAATATTTGTAACCACTTAGCAATTGTAATTTTGAAACATGTACCACATTTTAAGCTATGTTTTAAAATATTTTTGCCATATAATTCCATATTTATTAACATGTAGGCTAAACCTAGCTGCTGCTTCTTAAAATAACTGTAAATAATATAATGAGTTATACGTAAAAATGGGAAATTATGTCTTTTTAATACACCAATCATTTTACACCACCTCAGCATTACTGCTGACTGGGTTAAAGGCTGGGTAATCTTGTCTTAATCAGAGCTATTAACATTTCTCTAATTACTTAAGAGAGACTGTTGATTGCATATTTTATATATTTATAAGGCTTTAGCTGTAATTAAGGACCTCTGAAACACAATAGTTCATACAACAGTTTATGTTTTAACCACAGATATTGCCCAGCTTCATTTCTGCATAGTAAGCCAAAATTCTTTATGCAATTTGTACCTTTGAACTGTAAAGAAATATACTCAATATAGTCATCTTGGTTTCAACTAGAATAACAAAAATGTTCCTACAGTACTTTTTATAGTTCCGTATGAAAATGATCTTGCACATTATGTTTCATGAATTATTTTCATATGCGTTAGGTTACTTAGGCTGAAGAAAATCTCCTCGAATGTATATTATTTAGACATATGTAAGATGACAAAATGTCTGACATAAACTGCTTAAAGGCAGACATATTTATTTTGGCTCATGGTTTAGAGGGTTCCTTCTATGGTTTCTTGGTTCCTTGTTTCTAGGCATGTGATGAGGCTGTTTATCATGGTTGCCAGAGCCTGTGATAGAAGGAGAAATTGTGCATCTCATGTAGTCAGGAGGCAGAAACAAGCAGCTTACATCATAGTTGATGGGAAGCAGGCTATGGCTGTAACAGGAAAGGAAAGTACCTCTATACCATAAATTCCCTAAGCACTCATTTTCAGTGACTTAGGACTTTCAGCCAGAGCCCATCTTTCAGAGTTCTACCATCTTCCAATAGTTGATTCAGACTTCACATTTACCAATGAATTAAACAAACCTTTAGATCAGAGACATAATAATCAATTTCATCAGAAAATCTCTGACAGATATACTCAAAGGGATATTGTGCTAATCTTCTAGCCATTTATTATTTTAATCAAGTTGACACTGAAGGTTAACCATCAGGGGAAATACAGCTGAGAATTCTATCATCATCATTGATGAAGACACAGAGTCTTAGGAGTGCAGTATCTTGTCATGTTCAGAGTGTAGTTGAAATTCTAGCTCTGGTATTTTTAGAGCTTAGCATGAAAGGTTGAACTTGATCTTTGTTATCTTGTTGAACCATAATATTTGCTGTAATTCCCCAAGTTCCAAAGAACAGTGGCTTTATGTAAACTGAAGTCTTTTGAAGTCTTCTTGTTTTAAGCTTTGCCTGAATCTTTTATTTCCCTGAAAAGTTACAGCTCATTAGATATTGGCTGTGTCCTACATATATCAGAAAATGTGTTAAGCATAATGATACATTTTAAATGCTGGACAGTTTAGACCAGTATCTCCTGGGGAACTAAGTATAATACAGGTTTTATTCTCAATGGAACTCTTATAATCTTGGTGTAGATAATATTCACATAAAGAGAAACAACTTGACAAGTATTTAATAGAGAGTTAGGCTACAAAAATTTAAACAAGCTGGGTGGCTCATGTCTATAATCCTAGCTACTCAGGAGGCTGAGATCTGAGGATCACAGTTCAAAGCCAGCCTGGGCAGGAATGTTCATGAGACTCTTATGTCTAGTTAACTACCAGAAAACTGGAAGTGGTGCTGTGGCTCAAGTGGTAGATGACTAGCCTGGAGCTGGAGAGTTCAGAGACAGCACCCAGGCCCAGAGTTCAAGTCCCAAGACCAGCAATAAAAGAAAAAAATATATAAAAATAAAGCTAAGAATATAAATATTGTGGAAAAATGTGATATTTAATAAAAATTAGGACTTAAAAGATATTTAATTCAATAAACCAGTTTATTTATTTATTTTCTTATTTAGAATATTTTTACTTAAGTAGCTTTACAAAGGAATTGGCAATCACCAAAGCAGTTTATGAATACAGTGCATCTTGATCACTGGCACCCTTTTAAACAATCTCACTCACGTCTCCCAAACCACCCCTTCCCTTACATAACTTTACATTATGTATTTAATTTTTTTCCTTTTAAGACAGTGTATGTAACTGATGATTTATTACTCCCAAAATGTTAATTAAATTTTGGTAATATAAATGATACAACAACTCTCAAGTGCTTAAAACAATGAAGACACTCATAGCAGTTTATTACGTATGCATAACTAAACATTAAGGTCTACTTTTTTGTTTTTGTTTTGTTTTTCATTTTTTGGTTTGTTGTTTGTTTTTGGTGGGTCAGTTAGCTTGAACTCAGGGCCTGGGCATTGTCTCTAATCTCTTTTTGCTCAAGGCTAATGCTCTACCACTTTGAGCCACATCTCTATTTCTGGTTTTCCAGGGGGGTTAACTGGAGATAAGCTTCTCACAGATTTTCCTGCTAGAACTGACTTTAAAAACCACAGTCCTTAGATCTAAGCTTCCAGATAGCTAGGATTATCAGTGTGAACCACCAGCACCCAGGTCTGACTATTTTAAAGAAGAGAATTTATTTTTTCTGCACAGTTTTAGAGATTGAAGTTCGAAATCCAGGGTCCAGCAAGGCTGGTTTCCTCTGTGCCCATTCCCTTCGGGTAATTCTTTCTGCCTCTTCACAAGTCAGCCCCCTGAGCAAGGGCACCTATGATATCGCTTAGATATCCAGATTTCTTCTCTCACAAGGCAAGAATGTCAGGTTGAGTCAGACTCCATCATAGTGGCCTGAGTTTACCTCATTTACATTTTGAAGTTCCTATGTCCATGTATAGTCTTGCTTGAAGTACTGAAGGTATAGGATTCAACATACGAATTTGGGGGAGATGCAACACTTAACTTGCCAAAGTCTTGAGTAAATTCTAGTTGATTAATGTTCTGTCCTACACCATACTTTCTCCTTTGTCTTAATAATTAGCTCTACAAAACCCTATCTTTGCACTGTTCCATTTCTTTCTGAGATGGGTTATTTCCTTCAGAAAAATCTTAGAGCCATAAACTAGACACTGATGCTTGTACTACTAGCAATTCAGGAGGCTGAGATCTGAGAATCTTTATTCCAAGCCAGCCTTGGCAGGAAAGTTTATGAGTCTCTTTATTTCCAATTAACTACCAAAACAAAAAAAAACCCTGCAATATATCTGTGACTCAAGTGGTAAAATGGAAGCCTTGAGAGAATAAAAACTAAGGGACAGTATCCAGGTCCTGAATTCAAGTTCCAGTACTTGCACAAATACACACAATTATAGTCACACTCACACACACAATCATGAATCTTGGTACCTTAAAATCCTTAATGAAAGCTATATGCTGCTTCAAAGTAAAGTCTTGCATAAATATGAAGGCAGAAGAAGTACCCGCCTTAAAAGGTGGGTACAGTGGGAATTTCCTGTTGAAGCACTTTTAAGGATGGGAGTTTTTTTAGATTGGGTGCTACGATGCTTTTCAAATACAAATACATCAGGACTGACTGAATTACCTAACTTTGGAACTATATCATCTGTGTCATTTCATGAGCGTTTCCTTTTTTGGCCTTTAAATATTTTAGAAAGTAAAATAATAAGTACCCACCATTTTAATCTGATGTTTTAGAATCACACTACCCTTTTCCTCTAGCGAATGGAAAAACTATAAAGTTCATGCTTTATAATTTAGGTGTCCTTTACAAACAGTTTATATATGTTTCCTATTATATATGACTGTGCTTTCTTTCCTTGCTGTCAGCTTCATTGTTGGAAGATAATTTTTCTCACTGTTTGCTTACCTTTTCAGAGAATTCAATCATAAAATAAAACCTTCAGGAAATAATGCAAGAAGTAATTCTTTATGAGTTCACCATTCTTTAGGGTTGTGCATATCCTATTATTATAAAGTTTTCAAAATTGTATTTGCTGTCTACTGGAGCTTTCAGCCCTTGTAAACTATCTGAAAGACATTTCTAAACCACATTTGAAGACATACAACAAAAACTGGCCTGTTATTGTATTAGTCACTGTTTAGAATTCCTTTGGAAGTACCACATATTTACATGTTCCACTTTGAAAAGTGTGTTAGAATAATCTCTGTTGTGGACTTTTCTTCATATTTTTAGTTCATCTACAAGGATTTTTATTAAAATTTTATTAAGGAAAATGGCATTTTTACCTTTATATTTACTATCAAAAATGTTTCTTACAAATAATGCAGTAACCAGGATTGCTCATGAATAGTGAATGTGTTCACTAATCTATATGAACACTGAAACTTCTACGAAATTTCCTTTACTCTGGTTTTGACCCCTTTGTTGGTGTTTGCAGGGATGAGGAACCAGGAGGCCAGATGGTCACAGATAAGTTCCATATTGATTGGGATTCCGTCCTTGTCGACACAGATAATGTCATTGTGGCAAGATTTGATGGAAGAGGAAGTGGATTCCAGGGACTGAAAATTTTACAGGAAATTCATCGAAGATTAGGTTCAGTAGAAGTAAAGGACCAAGTAGCAGCTGTAAAGTAAGTCGGTGAACATTGTTGTATTGATTTTTTCTGTAATGACAAAAATCTAGGTATATGGCTTACACTAATAATTGACTTAAAGGATTCTGGATAGCTGAGTGATTTTCTAAGTTAAGGATATATATAGCTCTACTACATTCTTTTCAATCTATATTCTCCTTTGTGGTACAATAAAAGAATGATAACCTGGAATTAGGGTTTATTTTGTATTTATGAAAATTAGAGAGATTACATGACTATTTTGTTTGTACTACTTGCAACATAGAGCTATAGCAATCCATAATATCTATTACTTCCACAGTCCTAATTCTAACTCTTACAGTGGCTATTTTCACACTCACAATGTTAACTAAACAATGATTATAGATTATTTACAATAGAACATAGAAATCAGCCAAAACATGAATGTTAATCCAATCTTCCTGGAAATCATTCAAGTCAGAATTTATAACAATCTTTCATATGACATAAAATAACTAGACCATCACTTTGAATAGTAAGATTTGGTAATATACTATCATGCATAATTAAAGCTATAATCATTAAACCATTTCTACTACTTGTGTATATGCCAAACATAAATTTGCATGTATATTTGCCTCAAGAAGACATAATGTTATATGTATTTTGTGTTGCAGATATTTACTGAAACAGCCGTATATTGACTCCAAAAGAGTAAGCATTTTTGGAAAGGTAAATAATAAAATTACTACTCATACAATATATGTTATGTGTATTTTTGTACCTAAGTATATATATATATATATATTTTATAATTATGTTCTTCATTATATTTCAATTTCTGCATTAATTTCAGAAAATATGATATTATATATACATGTATAATTTATTAATTTGGCAACTATTTCTTGAGCATCTAACTGGTACCTGGTATTAGAGAATCAACAGCAGAAATGTCCCTAATTCCTTAAAGCTAGCAATTTACAGAAGAGCAATAGATATGAAAAAAATAAATGAACAGTGTGCTTTTATATAGAGAAGAATCATAATGAAACAAATATAAAATGATGTGTAAATGATCACTATATAAATAATCTGTAAAGAGATCATAGAAAAAAAGAAATAATAAATGAAGAAGTCAAGAAAGGTCACTGCAATGAGGAGATATTTAAGCAATATCTAAGCAGCAAATGGAAGGTAGACAGCCCAGTCCCTAGTAACTGCATGTTCTTCACAGAAGGTAAACAAATACCATACCCTTAAGAAAGGCACACATACACCACACACACTCACACACTCACACACACACACACACACACACACACACATATTGAGTAAAGAATGGTATTCACAGAGGAGGGTTATAAGGGTGTACCACCTTCCAAAATTAATTTATCACTTAACAAAATGGATACCAAAAAGCTAGAATGTGTGGTCAGGGTGTAGGGAATGTCAATGGGGTGGTAGACAAATGGACAGAGGAAGGGTGGGAAAATACAGTAATACTGTTCAGTGTATGCATATGAGAATAGAGCTGGGCAAGTTGGGTGATATGTCTGTTGGGAGAGCTAGGGGAGAAAGTTGGAAGGGATGACAATGATTAGGATGTGAATTTACTCATAATTCATAATGTTGAAGTGAACTCCCTTTATACAACTACTCTAACATCATACAAAAAAGATGAAAAGAGAGGCTGAAGCCTTGGAACTGGAAGATGACCTGTATGCATAGTTATTTTTCTTGTGCTATCTGTAAGTACAAATGATGTGAAGATCAACATTATTTTCCCATTAGGAAAATATATCTTACACAGATTCTTGGGGAGCACGTGGTTTTTGACACATCATTGGCAGCATGCAGTGAGGTAACAGGATGATGTAAGGAGAAACTATTCAACTATTTTAGTTTAGAGATAATTCATGGTCTTCCTGAGGGGAATGGAAACATATAATTTCTACTTTTCATATAATAACTTAAAGATCCTTCACCTAACACGGGACCATAAATCTTAGTCATGTTGACTGACAGACACATTATCCTTCTGCTTCACACATCTACACTGTTTTAATTGTATTCTATTTTGTTGTGAGTAATATTGAGTGGATCAATAAAATATTTTATGTAGTTTTCTCAATATGAATGCAAACAAAAATAAAAGAGACCAAAACAGTAATGACAAATACATTTTTGAAAAAGAAAAATGTTAAATATCTGATTATTCCAGAGAAATGGAAACTCTGGACACATGATCAAAGGCATGTAGTGTTATTCTGTTTCATGCTAAGACGTTAAGCTAGGTGAAATGCTCCAGGCACAGATGGAGGAATATGGTAGTGTTCCATTCATATGAAGTATCTATACTCGTATAGTTCATGGACATGGAGAGTAGAATTGTTGTTGCAAGTGGTTTGGCGAATCTTGAAAAGGAAAAGTTTTCAAGGAGTTCCCAGTTTCAGATTTGCCTGATAAGACAGTTGTGAAGGTCTAACTAAAAAGAATATGAAAATAGATTTGAAGCTTTTGAACTGTGCCATTAAGGGAGAATATTCTCAAGAATCCAGTGTATATAATACTATCAAATTAAGAAAAGTGAGAGAAAGGTTGAATATGAAAGGGATGGATGAGACTGTTGAAAGGGGTGACATTAATCAAGAATATATTGTAATATATTGTATTCATAAAATGATTTGTTAAATAACAACACTTTTGTACAATTTCTTTATGATAAGAACATAAAATAAAAATGGTTCACAAAGTGAAAAAATAGTAATTCAGGTGGTAAATTTTGTTCATGTGTTTTTTGCCACCAATAGGTGCATGTGTACTGTTCCTAAACATTACCAGTCCTGACATGTTAATATTTACAAAGAATTTAGGATTTATACATTTCAGGGTTGTAATTACTATGCATATAAAGAAATGCAAAGGACCAACTGAGGTATACAAGCATTTATAGAGATTGAAAGAATGCTCTGGAGTATATAAAATGTCTTATAAAAAAGAGGAACATGAACTATATGGTGAAGAATTAGAAAGTGGGAGAGGAAAATCTCATGTACATGTGCTCTGTCAAAAGAGAGAATACCTGCAGAAAAATCAATAAAAGTGATTGTAATTAAGGAACAGTTGGCAGTAAGGAGAGGAAACAGTTTAGAGGATCATCTACATCAGCTAAAGCGGTTATATGTCAGCTTATACTTGTAAAGGAACTAGACTTGGAACTTGAGTTTAGAAGTTCACATTATCATGTTAGCCCCCAATGATCACATTGGATTAATGAGTGCTAGCTCCATTGACTCCAGTAACCTAAACAGGAAACCGAGAGTAGAATACAAAGGAAATTTATTCTCAATGAAAAAAAAATCAATAAATAATGTATGACAGTCATATGAATAACTTGGTTTTCTGAGTATATAATATAATGAACATGTTCACATTAAAATTTCAGAAACAAAGCTGTGCACTGGTGGCTCACACCTATTGTGCTAGCTATTTAGAAGGCTGAGATTTGAGCATCTCATCTTCAATGCCAACCCTGACAGGAAACTTTGTGGGACTCTTAGTTCCCATTAACTACCAAAAAGCTGGAAGTTGACCCAAGAGCATAGAGCTAGTCTTGATTTAAAAAATAAAATAAGCAAAGCTCTGGACAATGCCAAGTACCTTAGTTCAAGCATCAGTTCCAGGAACACACACACACACACACACACACACACACACACAAACACGCAGTGGGCATGGGTACACAGTAAGCACTGATTTTTTTTCTTAGAGTATGGTCTATTTTTCCAAGTGCTGCTGAGAAGAACGTGTATTCTGATGCTGCTGGGTGAAATATTTGGTAGATATCTGTTAAGTCTAGTTGATCTTTGCAGTTGTTTAAGTCTGAGTTTTTGCCAGATTGACCTATCCAGCGGGGATAGTGGTGTGTTAACGTCCCCAACAATTAATGTCTTTTGTTTAATGTGTGATTTTAGGGAAAGTAGTGCTTCTTGGATAAATTTGGGTGCTCGGTTATTTAGTGAATAGGTATTTAGAATTGAAATATTCTCCTTAAGGAGAGATCCCTTAATTAGTATGTAATGACCTTCTTTAGCTCTTCTAGCTAATTTTAATTTGAAGTCTATTTTATCTGATATTAGCATTGCAACTCCTGCCTATTTATTGCTACCGTTTTCTTGGTAGATTTTATTCCAGCCTTTCACATCCAGAATATGTTTGTTTTTGTGGGCAAGATGTGTCTCTTGAAGGCAGCAGATGGAAAGATCTTGCTTTTTGACCCAAGTAGGCAGTCTTTGTCTCTTAATTGGAGAGTTAAGTCCATTAATATTGAGAGTTAAGACCAAGAAGTGTTTGGTAGTTCCTGCCATGTTATCCACCTTCTTGGGGGCTGGGACAGCTGTTTTTTTCCTATGCTTTTTGTATTCTCCTTTTGGGGACTGTTTCTTGGCCTTTATTGTGCTCTTGTTGGTTTTCTATGTGTACAACATCTTTAAGTATCTTTTGTAGGGATGGTTTGGTGGAGATATATTGTTTCAAATTTTCTTTGCTGTGGAAGGGTTTTATTTGACCTTCCATTATGAAAGAGAGTTTTGCTGGGTACAGCTGGGTGCAGTTGTTTATCTTTAGGGCATGGCATACATCATTCCAGGCTCTTCTTGCATTAATTGTCTCTGCTGAGAAATCTGAAGTTGTTCTGATTGGTTTCCCTTTATAGGTGATTGATCTTTTCTCCTTGACAGCTTTAAGGATCCTTTCTTTGGTCTGAATTGATCCTGTGTGCATTACAATGTGATGGTGGGATGTCCTGTTCTGGTCTGGTGTATTTGGGGTTCTAAAGTCTCCTTGTATTTGAAAAGGGAAGTTCTGTGCTAGGATCCTGTTAAGTAAATTTACTAGATAATTAACTACTGTCTCTAGGTGCTCCTCTACACCCATTATCCTCAAATATGGCCATCTGATGGTGTCTTCTAGATGTTGAATAAATCTATCATATTTCTTGGATTTGTCTTTTATATCTAGGCTGTCTTCAATCCCAGAGATTCGTTCTTCTTCATGGTCTAACCTACTGTCAAGACTTTCTACTTCTTTTTTTATTTCCTTTCCTTCTAATTGGTCGGCTTGGATGGCTTCAAATTCTTTATTGGGGTTTTGTTTTAGATCTTGTATAGACTTCTTTACAGCCTTAATTTGGTTTTCAGTATTCATTCTCAAATCCCTTAGTTGATTGGACTCCCTTTCCTTCTATTGGGCTTCATTCAGCATTCCCTTTGTGGGCTCGCTGGATTCCTCCAGCTGTCTGTGGATTCCATGAATGCCTCAATAAATCTTTGTCTATTCTCATCCCACTAATGCAATCCTTCAATTAGTCTTAGAATAGCCTCATCACACTCATGATTTTCCTGTATTAATCTTTGGTTAGCCTCATCATGTTTGCAATATTCCTGTATTAATTTTTGTTAAACTCATCATGCTCATGGTGAGACCTTTGCAGGCTTTCAAACTTTTCATTCCAGATGTTTACTAGTATTGTTTGTAGAGCATTTTGGGAACACTCCTCTGGGTTATTCATTGGCTGCTCTGTTGCCTGATTGTCATGAACGGGAGTTGAAATACCTGGACTTGCCATTTTTCTTGTGTTTCTGCTTATTCTGCCCATTTGGGTATGATAGCCAAACCAATTCTGAGCTATTTTAAGGCAAGCATCATCCAGAGCCCTGTAACAGTTTGAT